CCCCATCCCCCAACCCACTGAACCCTTCTGAACCACCTCACTTTCATGGATCGCCCTCTCTGATCTACTTCTCTGGTCTCCGTCCCTAGGCCTCCTCTTTCAGGTGCTGAGCGTGTTGTTATCCCTGGCAGCCGACGGGCTGGTCTGTGTGTACAGGTCAGAGGGAGTGGCAGGGCTCAGGGGAGGGCAGCAGGACTGGGCCCCACCAAGGCTAGATAGAGCGGATCCAGATCTGGTTGAGTCGTGTTCCCAGAAACTGGGCGGGTCTAGGACCCTGAGGTCAAAGCTTGAGTGGATTAGGACCTCTAGGCATCAGCTCTCACCCCACCCTTCAGGGAAATCTGCTCCATTCGCTTCCTGTTCACCGCTGTGTCGCTGCTGAGCATCTTTCTGGCAGGTGAGGAGCCCTGGCTCTGCAGGTTTGGGGCCAAGTCTATTTCCTGTCTTAGTGGCCTTCAGCCCACTCTAGTGACCCCTCCACTTGTTCTCCTACAGCCCTAGCTTTCACCCCATCTCCTTGCTTTCTTTCTTGTCCTCTTCTATCAGAAGACACTTTTCCTCTTTTTCTTTCTCTAGCACTCTGGTGGGGGCTCCTGTACCTGATCCCTCCTTTGGAGAATGTGAGTTGGGAAGACCTATGTCCCCAGGTGGGGTGGAGGTTGTGTGTATGGGGGGGGGGCATCCCTGGGAGGTGGTAGTGTAGGAAGCACTGAGAACAATCCCCAAGGGCCAACCCAGAATGGTAGGGCAATGCTGACTGGGAGAAAGGTACTTACTGATCCCTTCCTCCACAGGAACCTAAGGAGATGCTGACTCTAAGGTGAAGGAAGGCAGCGGTGCTTTCTGAGAGGAGTGCACAGGGACAGGTACTAACCCATGGTCCTACCTCCCAACTATAGCCAATACCACCACCGCGTGCACTCCCAGGGCCAGCAACTGCAGCACCTCCAGGCAGAACTGAATAAACTCCACAAGGAGGTGTCCAGTGTCCGTGCAGCCCACAGTGAGGTGAGGCCCCTGCACAGGGGCTGGGGCCCAGCTGGGAGGCTCAGGGGCCTAGCTGTGTTCACTTGGAAGGCTGCTTCAGAACTGCCTCACCCTGAGTCCCACGGTGGGGAGTCTTTCACAAGGCCCTTAAGTTCCTACCTCAGAGCACTGAGTTACTGAGACACAGGCCTTCCTGTAAACTAGCTCACCATCCTCCTGGTCCACCCTCTGCTTCTCTAGAGAGTGGCCAAGCTTGTGTTCCAGAGGCTAAATGAGGACTTCGTGCGCAAACCTGACTATGCTCTGAGCTCTGTGGGTAAGACACAGATGTGTGGAGAGCTGGAGTGGCGGTCATAGATGGCCATTCTACCACATTGATGTGGAGGCCTAAGGGGAGCTGAGAGTGACCCGTGCCTGTTGCAGGAGCCTCCATAGACCTGGAGAAGACATCCAGTGACTACCAGGACCGGAATACTGCCTACTTCTGGAACCGCCTGAGCTTCTGGAACTATGCCCGCCCGCCCTCTGTCATATTGGAGGTGGGCCTGGAGCTGGAGTGGGGGGATGGTACCGAGGGGCAAGAGCTGGGGTAAGAACAACAGCTTGGTGCAGGGAGGAGTGGAGCTGAGGTCAGTGTGGCTTCAGGAGGCACCCCACTGGAAAAGGAGTCTGGCAGTATGACAGGGCTCCAGAGTCTGGAGTTAAACTGAAGAGAACTGTACATGCTGGGGATCCAGCATTGCTTGAGCTGGTTAGGCAAGCAGGGAAGAAGGCAGAGCTCTGGGCTGAGCAGCAGTCCTAAGACTGGTTGATGTTCTGTGTTCCTCTTACGTCTGATGGCCTGCTCAAACCCCTGCAGCCAGATGTGTTCCCTGGAAATTGCTGGGCTTTTGAAGGTGATCAAGGCCAGGTGGTGATCCGACTGCCAGGTCATGTGCAGTTAAGCGACATCACCCTGCAGCATCCTCCACCCACTGTGGCACACACCGGAGGAGCCAGCAGTGCGCCCCGGGACTTTGCAGTCTTTGTGAGTAGGGCTGAGGCCTGGTGGTTGGGAATTCTGATTAGGGAGCACTAGGCAGTGGTGTTTTGTCATTTTGTGCTCATCTGTAAAATTGGGCATACGTCCATCTGCCTCACAGGCCACTCTAGGTTGTAAATAAGTGTAACCATATCCAGATATTAGGTTGGATTCAGGGTTAGGGTTAGGGCTAGGATTGCCAAACTCTATACATATTATTTCACTGGAACTGCAAGACCTAGGAAGTACTATTGTCTCCCCACCCACCCCCCAACTGAAGAGGGACAATAGTGCTCTAAACCGAGTGACTACAAACTCAGTCACCCTACTTTAAAAAAGCAAACATATTTTTTTAAATGTATGCGTGCTTTTGCCTGTACGTGCACCACATGCATGTCCGGTGCCTCAGGTGTTGGAGACTCTGGAACTGGAGTTAAAAACAGTTGTAAACCATGGTGTGGGTGCTGGAAACCCAACCAGGGTCCTCCGTAAGAGCTGTCTTTCCAGCCCTGCTAACAACTTTCTAATAGCCTGGTTTGTTTGCGTAAGACAGACTCACTCTATGCAGCTGAGGGTGACTTAAACTTAACAATCTTGGCTTAGCATTGCTGGTTTCTTCACGCCTATGTTCCAAACTACACACATCAGCCAGCGAGTGTAGCTATTGCTTTCTTTGCCTCCCTCTGTGCCTCACTCATCTTCCATACACTTCATCTACCAGGGGCTCCAAGCTGATGACGAGACTGAAGTGTTCTTGGGAAGATTCATCTTTGATGTGCAGAAATCTGAAATTCAGACTTTCCACCTCCAGGTGTGTTTATTTCTGGGAGTGACAGGGCAAAGATGTCCTAGCAAGATGGAGACAATCTTGTCAGAGCAGTTACTGGCATGATCCATTTGTCTCCCCAGAATGACCCTCCATCTGCCTTCCCCAAGGTGAAGATTCAGATTCTAAGCAACTGGGGCCATCCACGCTTCACATGCTTGTATCGAGTCCGTGCCCACGGCGTACGGACCTCAGAGTGGGCAGAGGATAATGCCACGGGGGTCACAGGGGGACCCCATTAAAAATGCTGATGGTTGGAGTAGAATTGAGGTTTGTGCTTTAAAAAAAAAAAGGTGCCAGGAGCTCATCTTTTGGGGAAAGCCCCTGCTGCCTGCGATATAGCAGTATGGCAGGAGACGCCCCTCAACACATCCCCTTTGCCTGGAAAAGTCCTGAGTCATACATATAGTAGAAGTTGATGTTGACAGTGACTACCATATGCAAAAGAACGTGCTGTGAACATTCTACACTGGAAACGACACAACTTGATCCTCAACAGAGAAGGAAACGGCTCAGGCAAGCAACTTGCTTCAGTCACGTACTAGTGAAAAGTACCACCAGAACAGACCTTCCTCAAGGAGCCTTCCCCTTCAACTGGAGCTGACGGCATACTTGCACTAGGCATACATGTGGTACATAAAAGAAGACAATACATCCAAACACATAAAAATCTAACAACGAAACCTAAGGTTTGGGCTGGTGAGATGTCTCAGCAGGGAAAGGCCACTAAGCCTGACAATCAGAATTTAATCCCTGGGACCTACATGGTGGAAGAGAACCAACTCCATAAAAGTTGTCCTTTGGCCTCCATACACCATGGCATGTAACACAAAATAATTTAAATGTGATAAATACAATTAAGGGGTCATTAAGATGACTCAAGTGGGCTAAAGGGGCTTGCTGCCAAGTCTTAATGACCCGAGTTCAATCTCTGGGACCCATACAACAGATAGCCCTCTCCCACGGGCTGTCTTTTGGCCTCCATGTATACGGTGGAACATACATGTGCACACATACGAAATAAATGTGGGAACAAGTTTAATCTAAGATTAAAAAAAACAGAACCAAAGTCTAGCACAGTGGTGTCCAGATGCTTCTACTTCTGGCACTCAGGAAGCTGAGGCATGATTTCTGCGAGGTTGAAGCCAGGAGAGTCGGTACTATATGGACCCAAAAAAAACAGATGAGAGAAATAGAACTAAAGACTGGGCATGGTAGGACACGCCTTTAATCACAGCACTTGGGAGGCAGAGGAAGTGGATCTCAGTACTATGCCAGCCTGGTCTACATGGTAAAACTCTGTCTCCAAAAAATAGAGGAGGAAAGAAAACAAACAAAACTAATGCTGGCAGTGTAACTCAGTGGTCCAATGATGGAGCTGGTGAAGGACAAGTTTTCCTAGTGTGTAAAGGTCCATGGTTCGGCAGCTGCAGAGATAACTCAGTGGGTAAGAGCACAGGCTACTCTTTCAGAGGACCAGGATACAATTCCTAGAACCCACATGGCAGCTCACACTGTCAGAAACTCCAGTTCCAAGGGATGTGACACCCTCACACAGACATGCATGCAAGCAAAACACCAATGCACAAAAAATAGAAGGAAACTACTAAACACCAATCCATGGTTCTGGTTTCAGTCCTCAGTGCACGCACGAAGGGTAATTTAGCCATAGGAACCAAAAATCTTTAAGACTTTTCATTTTTCCTCCTCCCCTTCTAAGGCTGGCTGCCTAGAACTCACTATGTAGCCTAGGTTTGTAAGGTAGTACTCCTGTCTCAGCCACTTCAGTGCTAGGACTGCAGACATGAACCAGCTCACTTGGCTGCTGTTCACACTTTTGATACATGTATGGTTGTGCATACCACTGCTAGAGTGGCGATCAGAGGACAGCTCTGGACTTGATTTTTTCCTCCTGTCTTTACATGGCTTCTACGAGTAAAATCAAGGTGGTTGGACTTATACAGCAAATATTATACCCAGTGATCAACCTTGCAATGTCCTCTTTATGCTTTTGAAACAGGGTCTTATGTAGCTCTGGCTATCAAACTGTGTGGTAGAAGATGCCCCTAAAGATATTCAAAGATAAGGTAATGTCACGGCCTGACTCCAGCATGCCTTAGGCCTAGACACAACCCCAAGCACCAAACACAAAACAAAAGCAGTCACTGACGCGGTTGTATATATTATTATTGATATATGGATACATTTTTTAAAAGGTTAGCATATATAAAAATAAATTTGCATATTGAGTATAAAAAACATGAAACGGTAATAGCCGAGGGGAAAATACTTTCAACATGTCAAGAACAACAACAGAATGAAAGCTCTCCATGAACAGGTTCCCGAGAAACAAGGAAATGTGTGTGAAATAAGACCTAGCCCACATAGAGAAGTAAATGGAAACTAGAAATGAGATCTGGGGACGGAAGGCAACCGCAGGTTAACAGATAGGATGAATCAAACCATACCTCTCTACAGAGGGCAACCTGTAATAATGCTAACATTCTAAATATCCCTTGCACACCAATATAATTTCCACACTGAAAAACCAATTCCTCAAAAGCACAATAAAATGAATCTCAGTAAGGAGCTGAATTACCAAACTCTGGTATATTCTTATAAAAGAATAATAGACATGAAAAAGGAGAGGGGCAGTAAGGATTGGTGGAGAAGGCATTCAAAATAAATGCAAACCAGATACAAACAGCGTATGTGTTAGCTTTTTAAAATTTTGTCTGACTTGAAACCTCAAGTCCATATCAGACTCACACAATCCTCCTGCCTCAGACTTTTGAGTGTTGGGATTACAACCATGAGCCAATCTTTGTTCCCATTGTCTATGTTTATATAATACTGGCATCTGAAAAAATGTTTCATTAGATTAGTAAACAAATTTTACAGTTACCCCTCTGCCCCCCACCCCCCATGACTGAGCATCAGGACCAGTGAAGTTCTAATTCTGCATTTAGGAGCTCCCCTCCTCCACTCTGCAAACAAAACCTGTTTATAAACGAGGTACTGAGTGAACTCTGGTTCTTCTATTCCAGGACCCTGAGTCCAGGGAGTCTAAGGGCAGTCTAGGCAAAGAAGTTAGGATGTGTCCTATAAAGATTTCTCAAAATGAATATGCATGTCAAATCTTTAATAATATAAAAAAGCTATTAAACTGTTGAGCTGTTAAAGGCCAAGCATAGTTGAGGCATACTTATAATCCTAGCACTTGGGAAGTTGGAGTAGAAGAGCAGGAATTCAAGTTATCCCTGGCTACACAATGTAGGGCCAGCTTGGGCTACATGAGATCATATGTCAAAAAAGCAAATAAAAAAATCGACTGTAAACCAGGCATGGTAGCACAATGCCTGTAATCCTAGCATGTATGAGGCTATGCAGCATGGTAAACTGAAGGTCAACTTGGGCCACACAAATATTCCCAAGAAACAGAGGGACAGCTAGCACAGGAAGTCTAACAGCCCTTACTCTCCTCTAAAACGTCATTCTCTCCCGTTAGCACCTTCCATCTTGTTCATGGTCCCAGCTCAGCTCGCCCCAGAGGGAAGGACAACCACATGCTTACTTTATATTCAAACTTCGTCTTTTCAAAGTATGTGACTGGAATGAATGGACTCAATTTGCTTGAATGGGGTCATCAGACGAAAGAGCTCTTTTACTCAATAAGCCCAAGGTCAGAGCAGGTGTGGCTATCTATAGCAGTCTATAATTTTGAGAGAAAGTGGTAATTTACTAGTCTTCCTTTTCTGAATGAGAGGGTGCCAGGCAGGCAGGCGTGTCAAAGAGGAGCAATGGCAGAAGCACATATAAAAGTGCAACCTATGAAGTGGAAAGAATGTGCATGGTTGGTCCATGCCCAGAGGATGGTCCAGGCTGAGGGCTGAGGACTGACTGTAGCCTACTCTTCCAAGGGAACCTATGCCTGTGGGGCCTGTGCGGGGCCCTTGGCTGGGGCTGGAGGTGCCTTTAATGGGGCCCATCCTTGGGCTTTGAAGTAGGAAACCATCTGCGTGGGCACTTCTGCAAGTACAGTCTGTGCAAGTGTCTCCCGGGGAGCCTGCCAAGAGAAGAAAGGAAAGATCAGTGAGGGCCTGTAAGCTTCCCAGGGTTTATATCTTACCCCAAACTTCATCCTTCCCAGATACTGATTAAAAAGGCTTTATCTACTGGCCTTCAACCCCATTACCACCCTGCAAACTCTTCCCCACTCACATTCTGAAATCGTCGATAAGGCACAAACTGCACTATGTCCCGGGCAGCTGCTTCTCCAGAGCGTGTACGAAGAGGGCCACCATCAGCATCCAGCTGTTCCATGACCTCGAAGTCAGCACCACCCACACCCACAATGATCACTGACATGGGCAGCTTCGAGGCTTCCACCACAGCCTTACACGTGGCCTCTACATCTGTCACAGCGCCGTCAGTCAAAAGCAACAGTACGAAGTATTGCTAGAGACAAGTCCATTCATATACTGAGGCAGATTATCTTTCCCAACTCCCTCCCAAGAAACCAGATGCACATTCCCGCTGCCCAAGATGCCATCTACACAGTCCTTGCGAGCTCAGCACCACTGCTGTCCACAGTTCTTACCGAGGCAGTCCTTTGCTGTGCAGCCTGGGCTGCAAACCTGGCCACATGGTTGATGATGGGTGCAAAGTTGGTGGGGCCGTAGAGACGAACTTGGGGCAGTGCTTGCCGGTAGGCGTCTACGATACCTTGGATGCCTACAGAGAAAAGCAGAAAATACTTCAAGCTTAGACCTCATGGGATTAAGTTAGACCTAAAATCAGCTCATCTTAGCCCAGAAATTTTAGAAACTTCGAAGTGTCTCACTCTGTCAGTCAGGGTACAACTCTATCCGACAAATGAAACTAAGGGGTGGATGAGATAGGAGTTGCTATAAATTAACATCTTGAATGAAAACCCAAAATAAGAGTTAGTTTCTGGGCTGGGAGTAGTTGAGCCTGGTTATATCAGTCCTTTGGATGCTGAAGAGGATGGCTGTTAGTGTCAAGAGAGCCTGGCATACAGAAAGACTCTTTAAAAAGCAAATATAGCCAGTGAGCTGGTACTGCAGGTAAGGTGCTTGCTATACAAGCTCAGAGACCCAAGCTCCATCCACAGACCCCGCAAAGAAGGAGGGAGAGAACTGACCTCAAAGATCCACCTGTCTTAGCCTCCCAAATGCTGGGAAAAAGGAGTGAACCTTCATGACAGGTCTGGGTCAGAAGTTTAAGACTAGTCCACAAAGTTCTAGGCCATCCCAACCAGGGTACATAGAAAGACTGTTTCAAGAAGAGGAAAAAAAAAAGTCTTGGCAGACGAAGGACACAGAACTTGGATTTCAATGTCTATGTATACGCATGTGGAGGTTATAAAAGAAAGGGGACTATGAAGGGCAGAAAAGGTCTTAAAGAGAGGGGCCCACAGGTAAGGTCATGGAACATGTGATATGAAGAAGACTGGGGCATTATTGGGCAAGGGGACCAGCAATAAGGTGGATGAGGAGAGGTTAGGTGAAATGAGCACAAAGCATAGTGATATACATGCATGCAAATAGAACATGCCTAACATGTATGCAAACAGAACATGCTTGTAACCTCAACAGCTGGGAGATGGCAACAGGAGGCACAGCAGTTTGAAACAGTGTGAGCTAAAGACTTGACTCAAAAAAAAAAAAAAAAAAGAAAAGTCATAATTAAATCATTATGCCAACCACGAATTAATGAAAGCAGTAAGGGGCTGGGATAAAGCTCTGTGGTAAAGTGCCGTGCATACACAAGGGCCTAAGCTCAATCCAGTAACAGAATTATTTAAAAACAAGAGAATGTCCTGGATTTTAGGAAATACACTTCAAGTATTTAGGGGAAAGGGCAATGTGAACGATACTGGCTACAACGCTGATGGAGGCCAACCTACTATCTATAATATTATCAAGTACTTCAGGAAAAGGGATTTACAGAAAACAAAATCAGAGCCAGTGATGGCTCTACGGTTAAGGCAATTGCCACCAAGTCTGACTACCTGTGTTCCATCCCCGGGGACCACATGGTAGAAAGAGAGGACTTCCAGAAAGTCAAGCCATAGTGCTCAAACACATATACAACCAATATGTATCATTTAACTTTTAAAAACGTAACCCTCCACACAAATACCCTGACCATGCAGTTCCAGTGATTCTGGAATTTCCATGACTACTTAACTTTTTTCTCTAAGCCTGATGTTTTATTCAGAGACACGCTTGTGCGATGTAGCCTCGGTTAGCCTTGAACTCTAATTTTACTTCCTCTACTAGGGTTACATAAGCATCTAACTATAATTTTACATCAAAAAACAAAGTGAAAAGAAAGTTTGAAAGTCGAGGCCAAATCCCCATGTGGCACCTCACTGGCTGCACTCTGAGCATTTCTGTGGCATAGGCAGGAAGGATCACTTGGTGTTCAAGACCAGCTTTGGTTAAACAGTGAGTTCTAGAACAGGCTGGCCAAGAGTGAGATCTTGTCTAAACTGAAAGGAGACAGCTCGGTGGTTAAGAGCTGAGCTGTTCTTGCAGAGGACCGGAGTCCGGTTCCCAGCACTCACAGCAGTGGCTCCAGGGACCTGATACCTCTGGCCTCTGTACTCATACACAGACAGACAGACACACATACAAATTTAAAAAGATAAAATAAAGAGCAAGGTCAGGTGAGATCAGATTCCACTGTAACTTGGCGTCATGTGAAAGTGCTAGGAAGTCCCAAGTCTTGGGGCCTTACAAAAACAGCTTGGGAAGCTCCCACAGAACATCGACCTCCACTGGGCTGGAGACTCGGCTCAGTAAGAGCACTTAGTCACATATGTAAACTCTGGATTCGAGCCTTGGCACAATGGTGGCCCACCCTGCCCTTCTCTAGTTTTTTATTTTGAGACCAAGTTGCCCCGGCAAGCCTTGAATTTTTGACTCCCTGCCTCAGCCTGCTGAGTAGCTCTGCCACTAGACCTAGGAAACTTTAGCTTTATTTTGAAACCAAAGCACACAGAGGTAAGCAACTTGCCCCAAGTCATTACAGCAATAAAATGAATTTATCTCCACTGGGCTAGCTCTTCCCTCCCAGAGGTCTGTACCCACAAACGCTCACTCCTCAGGTGTGGAAGTGCTCCACACTGGAGAGGAGGGATTTACCTGCACAGTACGGATTACTGGGATTGAAGTTCAAGGCAAACTCATGTGAGACCTGAGGGCAAGATGAAAAGGAGTGAACCAAGCTGGGGTGCAACCCTCCCATGTTAGCACACAGGGACCAGGACCAGAGGTGC